GTCACTTCAACCATCATGGTCACTTCTGCTTTTTGAAGTGGTCTTGGTGGTAGGAGTCTGGATGTGCAGTATTTCAGCTTGAACCCCCCTCTCTTAAGTCAACAACATTTGAGCTTCAAGGAAAAAAGTGGAAGGTGTAATATCCTATTTGAACATCTGATACAAGTAGGTGACAGTTGACCAAAATTAAGGCCCTTTATACCTTGCAGAGAATTGCCAATTTTATGTTTAGAATTATGTAACTTAAAATCTATTACATCTTCAGCCTTATTTTATTCTACAATGTTTTCATATGCCCTTTTTAGAAATGAGATTGCAAAATCTTAATGGAGAAAATTCTATCTTTGCATATGCAAAATATAAAGTGTGTATCTCAGAACACCAATTAGATGTCAATGTGTGTGGGATCAGATGGAATAATTTAGCATTTTGAACAAACAACCTGTCAAATCCTTTTCAGAGAATAAGCCGTACTTTACAGGGCAGATGCAATATTTTTCTGATTATTTTATGTTGCAATCGTAGTATTTTTCTGGCACTCTGAAATGACCCATATTGATGAGCTGAGTCACATTCCGGTTTTATTCTGCATGATTTTCTTTGGCAATACATGAAGCTTGATTAAGAAATCATATGTATTTTTGGTTTTCTGTTGTTAAGCATCTTCTGATAGCACCCTTTCATCTACCCCCAGATTCCCTGATCAGGAAGTAAGGCGTACTGCAGTGCAGTGGATTGATTCAATATCTGACAATGAGCTCCTGGATTACCTGCCACAGCTTGTACAGGTGAATAAAGCAAATGCAACAATTGATATTATCCTCGACGAGGAGTGTCCAAAGGGAAAGACTATCCCTAGTCCTATTTTATTTTATACACTGTTCTAAAATAAAGCTGCAAATGAACCTGGAATTTATCTTGCTAATAAATTGTGACATGCTTGGTCACTATAATGCTATTTTTTTGAGTCGGTTATAATGGCTTTTTGTGTGTAATTTTTTTATAGTGTTATAGCATTTTCCTTTTACCTTCTCTTTTGTATCTTTCCTTTCTTTAGGCTCTGAAGTATGAGTGTTACCTGGATAGCCCACTTGTCCGGTTCCTGCTGAAACGAGCAATCTGTGACCTGAGAATCACACATTATTTCTTCTGGTAAGTGGAAAATAAAAGCTATGTCATTGAGCAAAAATGCTCATAAATAATAACAAATTGAGCAGGACAGACATAGATTATTTCAAGTGAACCAATTATCAATAAATTATGTTGACAAGGACCTAGAATTTCAAATGTTAGGCTTTAAAAGTTACTTGCCACCACAGGCCTGTAAAATCTATGGCACACTAACCAGGGGTGAATTTCTAATAGTCAGGCCAGAATTTTCATTGCCAGTGGCTAGTAACAAATGGATATTATAAGCCTAGATGTTGAAAACAAGCTTTTCTTTATAGCATGGATATGCATACAACACATTGTGTCGGCATAGTTGCCAATAAATGTATAGCTTTAAATATATATTTACGTGAAGATTAATGCCTTTCTGCTGTAAGTTGGCATTTTGGATTGGTTATGAGCACATGTAAATTCTGCCACTGTACTCCCATGTTACATTAAGGCATGCCACAATTCTTCACATTCAAATGCACACAAAGATTTGTGGGATGCCAGAGCATCCCTTATGTAGTATACTAAAGTCTGAGACTACAAATATGCAAAGCTGCTTCTGTCCTCAGAATTTTCACTTACAAATTTGCTAGCAACCTACTACCCTACCCTCACCTTTTGTGTCACTTTACCCCACTCCCTCTAGCATGCAAGCTCATTGAGCAGGGCCCTCAATCCCTCTGTTCCTGTGCGTCAAACTTGTCTGGTTACAAAAACGTGTCTGTTATTCCACCCATTGTACAGAGCTATGGAACTTGTTGGTGCTTTATAAATAATAATAATAATAAAAAAAAAGTACTGTATATACTATTCTAAGACATGTTTATTATGACTGGGGCACTTAAGAGATAAGAGGCAACAAGCACAGCCACATAACACTACACTTCCCTAAAATTCATGATGGCTCAAGTATAGTTTCTTGCAGTTATCATTCATTGTATGTCTCCATTTTACGATAATGACCCTGTTCATCTCCTGTGTACAGGCTACTCAAGGACTGCTTAAAAGACTCCCAGTTCAGTATTCGCTATCAATACCTACTGGCTGCTCTTCTTTGCTGCTGTGGGAAAGGTCTTCGAGAGGAGTTTGACCGGCAGTGCTGGCTAGTAAATACCTTGGCTAAACTGGCTAAAAAGGTCAGAGAAAGTGCTCCATCATCCAGACCGGTAAGCACTGGGAAACTTTCACTTGTGTGATAGGAATGTCATGGTCCGTAATTATCTGTATCCTGTCTGCTCTCAGTAATTTTTATCCTCAACCAGGTCTTGAAAATGTTAATCATGACCTTCAGAGCTGCAAACGTCAATATTATTTGTAACCGTGCAATTTTATGACTATGGTTTGTTAGTTCATATGTATTTTAATAGTTTTATAAGGTTTGCAGTTACAGCAATATCAATTTGGAAGTGTCACGTTTACTTTGTAACCCAACACAGGGCCATTCTAAGGTCCGGTATACGTTGTTTGTGTGACCCAACACACAAACAACGTATTCCGGACCTCAGAATGGCCGGACGTAACGTAAAAGAGAATGATCAAAATAACAAGCCAAGGTCGGATACAGACAATACGAATAAACTAGCCAATGGTCAGGATACCAGAAATAGGGAAAGTCGAAAACATATACCAAAGTAAAAAAACAGAAATACAATACCAAGAACGCGCTCTTTGACAACCACGACAGAGCGCTGAGAAAAGGCATTACAGGGTTAAATATGCCTCTCAGTGCTGTGAATGTTTATTACATGGCCCTTAAGCCCAAAACGTGCGTGTGCGTCTATATTGTGACGTCACACGCACGCCGGCGCCATCTTTAATGTGAGGAAGTGCGCCCTTTAACATTGGGAACGGGACTGCAGCGGCCCGGTGTCCTTTTGAACGCCGCACCAGCTGGGACCCATCTTCATTGAGGATCGGTTGGCACCCCGCCACAATCAAGGTAAGTTATTTTTTCCCTTTTTGGCGCGACCGCCCTGTTCATCAGGGACTTACTTTTATTAGAAGTATTGGCGTGGCCGCGTCACTCATAGCCCCTTGTGCCGTGACAGCAAGTCTTTTACCAGGAAGTATACATTGAGATGGTTTTTTTTCTCATTCCATGCAGCTCTTATCTCATTGGACAAATATGCATTTCAAATACAAAGAAATGGAATACATTTTTATACCGATAACATTAATGCCACCTTGGTAAAGGCACTCAATGTTATTTACTAAATTGATCTTGGTTAGAAATTCATGGTAAATTAAAAATGAATTTCAAATTTAAGTCCAAGGAAGTTGAACTAGAATCATAGCTGAGAATTTTTCCAGTTTTGCTTTTTTGTAATTTAATTCCATTTGAATTCTTTTTTTTTTTGTCATTCTTTATTTTATTTTGTAAAGTTGACAGTGAATAAACAGTAGGTGAACATAACTGCGGTGAAAACAAGTTTGACAGAAAGGTAGACAGATGCCCTCTGGGGCCTAGCTCCCACTGCCCCCAGCACCGCCGATTATTGTCGTAAAGTTAGGGTGCGTATCTGCTACCCTGCATCCTCGCCAGATCTGTGCCCCCAGAGCCATCTAGTGGTGACGTGGCCCGTCAACCTCACCCGACTCGGTAGATCGTCTACTTTGTGCAGCCCAGTGAAATTTATCATAAGGTTTAGCTTCATGCCTGAGTGATATGAGGGTTTGTGTTAGCGCTCTGGTTTCATTAGGTAGTGTGTGGGGAAGGTGGGTGCCTTGATCTCTTCTGCTTATCAATCTGGTACCGGGCCGGTCTCCACTCCCTTCACCCCCCAGGCCTCCCGCTATGGTACAGGTTGATGGGTCGTCATGTAGACGATGAGCGAGTTGCGGGAGCGGAGGTCTTAGCTTGCAGTGTATCCCTGGTGCCCCCATCTCCATTTTCCATTTGAATTCTTGACAGTTCTCACTCTAGTAAATAACCCTGTACCAAATTTTAGATAAACTCTCAAAGTTAATCTGTAAAGCACCATCAGTATCTCTCATTTCCTTCTAGAAATCCCTATTCACCTAAGAGATATGCTGGCACTTCTTATTTGTCAAAAATTTCTTCAAATTTAAGATGTTCTTGACATTTTTTATTCAGATCTTTTCCTTGCTTTGTGTCCATTATTTTCCTTTCAAATTACAAGCATCTGAATGCGCTTTTTACTTTGAATGCATGATTTTGTGTTTCTTGATATCAATCATTAAATTCTACATATTAACATCATATATGTCTCTGTGTGTATATACAGATCTCTCTCTCTCTCTCTCTGAGTTTATTTCTTTGAGTCAGAAAACACAATGTGCATTGATGTACTTTTTAATATAGTGTTATGCTGTAATTTCGTGCGTGCATGAGGAACTGTAACTGTTGTGCTTAATAATACATGTAACGTGGGTGAGCAATTGTTTCATAGTTTGTTTGTTTTTGTTTAGGATATACTCCGGAATGGGCTTGAAGATGTTAAGCAGTTCTTTAATGTGAATGGCTCCTGCCGACTTCCACTGAGCCCCAGTCTTCTCGTGAATGGGATTATTCCACAGGTAAATTACTTATCTTTCCTATTTTATTTTTTTATATTTTTACGCTTTCAGATCACTTAAAATAGATGTTCTAGATTTGTGTTTATACTTCATAAGGGAAAAGGGCGGCTTATTCCAGCATTCATTCTTGGTTGGATGAAATATCGTGTGGGGGTGGGGAGGGGGAGCTGAGGAGGGGGAAATCACGGGGAAGAGTCCTGACTTTTGTTACACATCCTCTTGAATACAAACAAAAATTATGATGGAGCCCCAAGACTCTAGGCAACATAACCTCAAATCTGCTCTTTAGTATTTATGTTGGGGGAGAATGGAGTTGGCAAGTGAGCTGTATTTTTCATCATCTTCCAGCACTGCTCCATCGCATTTAATGACAGACTCACATTGACCGAAATAGACGCTCACTGACTGGACACACACTGACAGACACACACTCATTGACAATGTGTGTCTGTCAATGAATGTGTGTATTAAATTAGTGGGTGTGTGTCTAAACAGTGAATGTGAGTGTCAGTAAGTGTGTCTGTCAGTGGGTGTCAAATCAGTGAGAGTGTGCATTTATCAGTTTCCTCCTCTGTGTGTAATGTATGTGTGTCTATTTTCTCTGTGTGTGTAAGTGTGTGTGTCAATGTCCTATGTGTCTGTGTCCTGTGTGTACCTATTATGTGTGTATTATATTTTCATTTTGCGAATTTTATACTCCAAATGAATAGTTCATACACTCCTCCTTACATACACAATATTCCCATTATGCCCTATTCTTTACTACCTTTAATTATGCTTGTTCTCCAATATGGGATTAACTTACATATCAGTGTCTACACATTTCATTTGTAATTTAAATAAATAGAAATTACTTTCTCGAGACAGGGGTGCATATGAATATTTGTTTTTTAGACCTGCAGGGGTAATTCTTCCTGAAAGGTTGAGAAACACTGGCTTAGTGTATCCTTTTAAGGTTATGTTTCATCTAGCCTAACTCTTATTCTCAGATACTTAAATAGGTTACTGCTCTAAAATTAGTGTTTTGAGTGAGTTGAGAAATAAAGATGCTAATATTTTGTTATTTTTGCACTGCAGAATGCTTAACATGCAATAGTGAATGCATGTGTATGACAGAGCTCAATTGTTACATTGCTTTGTATGTCTACTAGAGTAACACAATTAATATTCATTGTACTTTGTCACGTATATTTGTCTAAAATACATTGAAGAAAGTAGGTAATAGATTTTTCTTTTCACATCCTTAGGACTGCTCACACTTCAACTCGAATGCTGTGCCACTGAAACTATCTTTCCAGAATGTGGATCCATTGGGGGAGAATATTCGCATTATATTTAAGGTACCTGCTTACCATATGCAAGAATTGTTTTTATAAGTGTTAAGAGTGCACATGACGATCCATTCTCACACATTATGTTAAAGTAGCAGTGCCACTTTCGGGATGGGCTTCTCTTACACATTATGTGATATAATGCCCATTCTCATCAGCCGTTTTGACTTAAGATAGGAAAATAGTGGCAGAAACTCCCTCTTTTTGCCAGAGAGTTAAAATTACTTGAGATCAAATTTGTCCCTTTATTTCTGAAAAATTACGCTATAGTAAAAAAGTTTTTTTTAATAAAAAGTCTCATTTTATGTAAAGCTGACAGAGCTGCTGCATTTTCAAAATATGGATTACTGCAACTCTGACACACAGGCATATCTTCCTAATAAAGACCATTGTCTCATTTAATAGGCTTTCCAAATGATTCAAAACGGTTAGAAAACTTTCCAAATGATTTCCCTACAAACTTTCCCTTAGACTTAAATGGGGATTTCTGTAGATAAATCATTCGGAAAGTTTTCTCAATCATTCTCGAATCATTTGGACTTATTTTTATTAATTAAGGGCTGAAATATACATATTTATGATGTCAAAAATTTAAAGAGCAAAAACTAGTAAACTAAGAGCAAATTGTGTTTTTATCTGATGGATCACTACAGTGTCAGGAAAACAAACTCGTTTTTCTGACACTATATAACCTTTAGGTTGCCCCCTTCCCTTGGCGCTGAAGGGGTTAAAACCCCTCCAGTTACTTACCTTAATCCAACGCCAGGCTATCTCTGATCTTGGCTCCCGAGTTGAGTGGAATGTGCATGCGCGGCAAGAGCTGCACGTGCATTCAAACAGTCCATATGAAAGCATTTCTCAATGCTTTCCTATGGACTTTCTGCACGCTGGATGCGAATTTCGATGTGCCCACAGGGGGGGAGACAGGGCCGTCTAGCACATGTAGCTGGCTTGGCACGCCGCCTGACAGGAGAGCGTCCGTCTCTCCCGACATGTGGCCCCCTCGGGTCTTGCCAAGATTTTATTGGATTTTTAGCGCCACTTTCTTACTTTTCTATTTTTCAAGAGCTTTTATTGTTTCTCTCCCCCCCCACCCCCTCCTCTTTTTAATTGGTCTGTATTACAATAGGAATCAAATCAAGGATGTATTTTTTTTTAAAGGGACATAATAGTCACCAAAACACATTCAAATTAATAATGCAGTTTTAGTGTACATATCATGCTCCTGCAGTCTCACTGCTCAATTCTCTTCCATTTAGATGTTTTAGAAGTCATTTTTGCTTCTGTTTCTGTAGCTCTAGCCTCACCTCCCCTGGCTGTGACTGACACCGCCTGCATGAAATTTTTTTCTCTAATTTCACTCAGATGTGAACTGAATTTAGAAGTTGTATCTCCTGCCCTTTAGATTGAACTTTAATCACAGACAGGAAGCTCCTGCAAGGTCTAGAAGGCTATTAACAGTGCAGGAGATTAGAAATTCTAAATTAAACAGCCTGTGTAGTAAAATAACTTAGACCTCACTTTACAGGAAGGGTTTAGGAAGGTTTTGCAAGTCATATGCAGGGAAGTGTGACTAGGGCTACACAAACAAAGTGATTTAACATCTAAATGTCAAATAATTGGGTAGTGAGACTGCAGAGGCATTCACCAAAATGGCGTCATTAATCTAAAGTTGTTAATACAAATTGTATCATTGTAAAAACCATATTAAATGTAACTGTGCAAAAAAAGCTACATTCTGTTCTGACACAGTGACTAATCAGGTTCCATCAATTCTTACATGCGATCAAAAATAATTACACGTTCGTTTGTTACATACTATATCATAACTAATTTTCCGTCTTTGTAAACTTGTTTTATCTTTTGTGCTCAAGGTTACAAATGTCACAGTTTTGTTTTCGTTTCATAGTGTACAATACAAAACTGTCTTCAGCAGTGAAGATTTCCAGTAAATGCAAAGTTTGTGTTGTTACTATAAACAGAGGGATTGGTGACTGCAATTTAAGTAAACTGCGTGCAGGATTAACTCTGGCAGCTTGCTGGGATACAGGGGTTAGAGGCCCTGGAACCATGCTTTTGTTTGGCACCATTCACCATCCCTATGTGAAGGATGGAGCAGGAATCCCCAACCTGATAAACTGGCTATGACCCTGTTGAATCTTAAAGGGACACTCCAGGCACCCAAACCACTTCTGCCCATTGGACTCCCACCCTTAACCCTGCAAGTGTAATTATTGCAGTGTTTATAAACTGCAATAATTACCTTGCAGGGTTAAGTCATGTTCTAAGAACACAGAAGTCCCTCTAGTAGCTGTGTGATAGACAGCCACTAGAGGGACTTCCGTGTTCTTAGAACATGAAAAGTGTTTTAAGCGACTCATTAGGACTTCCAGCAATGCCGGAATCCCCATAGGAAAGCATTGAATAATGCTTTCCTATGGATAGGTCTAATGCATGTGTATTAGGTCTCCCCGCCGGCTGACGTCAGCGGGGGGAGCAGCGTGGGCGGAGCCGTACCCAGTGCCGAGGGATATCAGCGCTTGTTTCAGGTAAGTGACTGAAGGGGTTTTAACCCCTTCAGCAACACTGGATGGGGGGGTGGTAGGAAGGGGGTCACTGCAAGGTCCTGCAGTGCCAGGAAAATGGATTTGCTGGCACTGTAGAATCCCTTTAATCTTTCTTTGAGTAAGCTGCTTGAACATTTTGCGAGACATTAATTTATGGGAAAGATTTTTTTTTAGTATATTTTTACTTTGTTCAAGAAGTATAAACACATTTTTCTCTAATAAACATACAGTTTGACATGACATTATGTACTGTATTCTTCACCCAAGTATAAAACTATATATTTAAAAAGACCACACTAATGAGTTTTGTAGAGTGGTCTGATGACTGCCATTTGGTATGACCTTTCTAAGGCCTACAGTGTTACTCCGTGTTTGACTAACAGGCAATCTGGACTTCAGTTGCTGTCTTTATTTCAAGAAAGGAATGCACTGCCTGCTATGTTAGGTGATTGTATTTCTGTCTTGGATGGGAGTGGTGTTTGGTGAAGTTTTAAGATCGGTGTGGGGTACTAGAGTCCACAGAATTTGATTCTGCCCTTTAACTCCGTAGCCACCATCTTCTGACCTGTGGCATCTTTCTGCTTATCCTCGTGTAATTAACCCCCTAATGGTAGTCTCCATAACAGTATAGTTACTCAGTGATATCCGTGCAATAAACTGAACCAGGTACAATACGGAGATACCCATACAGGAGATACCATTAACTATCCCAAACAACCAGGGACTCTGCGATTGATACACAGGGCTGCCGGACAGAGATACCAACATACAATGTCTATGTATAATGTTAAAGGGACACTATAGTGACCAGAACCACTACAGCTTAATGTAGTTCTGGTGTGTATAGCCTGTCCCTTTAGGATTTTAAATGTAAACACTACATTTTCAGAGTGACTGAGCACTTCAAAGATGATTTTGGTATGTTTATAGGATTTCCTTAAAGTATGCTATGCCTACTGTCTGTATGTTTGTATTTCAGTATAAAATGAGATGTAATTGTAAGACTATTGCAATTGTATGATATTGGTATTTGAAAATCAATAAAAACAAAACAAAGTAAAAAAAAAAAAAAAAAAAAAAAAAAAAAAAAAAAAAAAAAAAAAAAAAAAAAGACGACTTTGGTAAACTAAAGGCAGTTGAACCTACACCATGAAAAGTACAATAAGAGTTATTGAACTATTAGTGACAAGCAGCACTGTGTTGTCGGAAATGTCTGCCATTTTCACTCCCCTTGTGCTTTCTGGGATTCTGTAGCTATATATATTAAAAAGACACAGATTTTTATTTTGATTTAATTTTTCAAATGTTTTTTTTAGCTTAGCCATTCCCCATAAGTGAATTGAACAAGTGCTTATGCATTCAAAAGTTGTGCCTTTTTGTAAATAAGACAAATTCAAAGAATGTTTTCATGAAACCAGACCTGAGGTGAATTCCCACCAGAAATGAAAATAGAGAATCAAAAAGTGGGGACAATGTAACCCCTTAGATGTAGATATTCAGATAGCAAAATAGAATGCTAAAGCTGGGTTGTAAAGTATTCACCAAGTAATGGGGAGGTATTGGAATCCTGGAGAACTGCTCTGCCATGGTGAGCAACAATTCTAACTATTTTGACAATCCCTATACATTCAAATGAAAAGAAGTATAGACTAGTATGCAATAAGACAGAAATATGCTGCACATGTACATAAGCACCATATACAAATGTGGCTTGCCATCAACTTTAGCAGAAACCAGGTAATACCATCCTGTCATGGGTGGCAAGTTTTTACATATAACACACTTTCTCTCTCTTTCTCTCTCTGTCTCTCATATCGAAAAAATAAGTACAGGCAGTTAAAGGTGATTATGATATGCAGAAACTCATGTTAATATTATGTACTTCTACCTTTTCATTAAATATGTGTTTGTGAGGTCTAAAAAATAAAGTGAATCTAGATATCCACTGTATTCAGCCATGTCACTGGAAACAAGAACCTTGGCCCTCTGTCAACCATTGTTATTAGCTATGCCCTTTGCCATTATCCGTCAGCATAGAGGGAGGAAGAGAAACCAAAACAGAGTTTTTCTGTCTCTCCTTTTAATGTAATGTGTGCCTTGGCTGAGCTGGGTTATAACGTAATCTTGATAATCTATAATATACATTTAAATGAAAAATTTGATGGTAAAAAAAAACGGTTCACAAAAAATTAACCGGTATCCAAGCTGGTTGTAACAAGGTTGATTTCTAGAACTGCCAGTTTTACACATAAAGCTCTTCAGCAAGTTGAAGTGCTTTAGGGGTCTGGAGTGTCCCTTAAAATCCTTTGATGCCATCCAGCCAACTTTTCAACTAACTTGCTGCATCACTTCACCATTTATGTTAAGAAACAATGTATTTTCTCTGCCACTCTTAACATGCATCTCCATTTTGCTTCATACAGTGTGGAGATGACCTAAGACAGGACATGCTAACCCTGCAGATGATTCGCATCATGAACAAGATCTGGGTGCAGGAAGGATTAGACATGCGGATGGTGATCTTTCGCTGCTTTTCCACAGGACATGAGCGGGGTAAGTGCAAACTATTTAATCATTGCTTTAAATTTCCTTGTCACTCCCACAAACGTCAACTTGTCTTTGAATCAGAGCACCAAGTGTTACTACTTGTCCACATCTCAAAACATTTCAAGTAGGTTCTGAGGGGGCGGAGCTAACGCATGCAACTGAACAGTCGCCATTTCTCTGAGATCCTCACGGGCCCAACAAAATCTGCCTAATATCTCATTCCCAACTCGCCATCCAACCTCGAAACCACGAAAACTGGACACAGGTTACTGAGCCGCATCGACAGATGCCCTTTCAATACACCCCGGGGAAAAACAAGCCGAGGCGCAGATCTGGGGCCTACCGCTACCCGAAGCCTCAAGGCCTAGACTCACTCCTCGATTCCCTCATCGGAGCGCACAGCTCAAACATCCCGGAGCAGCCCTGGTCACCCCCGCTGCCCGACACCCCGACTATGAAACGCCGAACACAGAAACCCGACAGGGACATAGGGGCTATGCTCCAGAGACCCGCGGCCTCGAAGACGCCAACAGCAGAGGCCGACCACGCCACAGAGGTCCCACAATCGGGGACAGAGAACGGGGACGTGGAACTCGGGCAAACACCCCACCAAGAGCCATCCCTAAGCTTACTGCAGGCTGACAGCATGGCACCGACCACCAAAGGTGACCTCAAACTACTCCTTGCAGACCTCCACAAAATGATGGCAGCCGACCTCGCACGAGTACGCACGGAAATTCATGCAAACACAGACCGCATTAAGGCCGTGGAGGAAAACATCCGGCATGTGCAGACTGAGATGGCCCATCTCAAGAACCCGATACAGCAGCTCAATACTCACCACCAGGCACTGGCGCAACGGCTGACAACCCTCGAGGATCAACTAAGGAGAAACAACATTAAAATACGAGGCATACCAGCGGCAGTAAGTGCTGAAGAACTCCCGCATTATATCCGGAGGCTGTTGGCCGCCTTACTCCCACCAGCGGTGGCCAAAAAAGTCACACTCGATGGCATATTCCGACTCACCAGCATGGCCAAGCTCTCCACCCCTGGGCCACGGGACGTAATCGTCCTCTGCGAAGGACAAAAGCCACATTATGGCGGCAACACGTGGTAAAACACCACTACAGTTTGAGAACTCCTCTCTAAATTTCTTCCACGACTTAACTAGGGCAACGCTGCAGTGGCGCAGACAAATGGGCCCCATCACGACTCACCTCCGGTCCAAAGGAGTGCCATACCGCTGGGGAACGCAAGGCACCTTGCTCGTACCCCGGAAAGGAATGACCCCCCCCCCCCCTGGTTACAGGGTAACACACCCGGATAACCCCGAAGCTCACAACCACTCAAGCAAGCAACAGCCATCTATCACAACATACCCACCGGTAAATCTAGGGCATCACCACACAAATAGCGGCAAGTCGTACTCTCCCCCACAAACCCCCATGCACACAGCCACCACACTACACAATGCGCACCTGGATCTACCCTCTAGGGCAATGCACCCCAAGGGGGAGATCATACCCCCTGCCGACTTGGCCAGACCGTACTCACGGTACCCTACGCCCCGTAGCAGTGCCGCAATGTGGCAGAGGGCACATAAGAATGGAGGAGACAAGCTTTCTCACAAATGCATGCACCACAAAACGAAGGTGACATAGTTGTAAATTGGCCCAGTGTTTGCCTATACTTTACTATTGTTTCTTGTTTTTATTGTTTAGACAGCTGCCTAGACACGTTAATTATGTCTCCCATGCCCTCCACCAGGTCATTGCAGCCACAACGAGAGGCCAGCTTTTGTGGTTAACCTAATACGCTACCTACTGCGCTAAAGCACCAGCCCATTGCCCACCCACTGACAGAGATAGGTTAAGCAAGGGGCTAGCTGCCTAATACAGTGAGCAGGAACAGTCTTGTCTTGTGATTGATTGATGTGCTGTCACACCACTGGCTATCATCTTGTTCCCTTTGATAACCCCCATATAAAAATGTGCATCGATTTCATATGCCACCTATGCAACTGTTATACTTTGTCAACCTCAATGCATGTCATGGCTGTTGGGGCATGACTTGAATGCTTGTTGAATTAACTCATGCACGAAAAAATAAAGAATTTAAAAAAAAAAAACATTTCAAGTAGCCAGAGAGCTGAAATGACTGGTGGGTTTTCTACTTGGTGGGCTTTTCTGTGAATTTTAGGTGACTTCATGATAATTATGTAACTATAGATGTGGATTTAGAAGAATACCAGTATTTCAGTGCACAAACTGCTATCTAAACTCCTACCATTACCATTTTTGTAATTTAATGACAATATACGCTCTGATTTTGATTGCTGTGTTGCTCCAGAGCACATTAATACACTCTAACCTTTCTGAGTCCTTAGAAAAGAGGGATAGGAGGATTTGAGTTCCATAGACAAACTCTCTCACTTAACGAGATGTATACATGAGAGGTCTGTGTGTCAGTGCACTTTTACCAACTGAGAACTCCCTCGTTTTGTATCACGCTTTGATCTAATATGTTTTAGTTTAAAAGGTAATGAATTACAAAAAAAGCATAGTTCATATTTTTTAGATCAAAAGGGATGCGATCAGGTGTAATATTAAATAATCCCATTATAATTGGTCAAGCTATAGATGTGATTGTGCATTAAGGCAACTACCTTTAGAGTGGTTTATGTGTCTGGAGTTTGGAAGGACAAGGGGTAAGTAAATAAATGTGATCAGCTATTTATTTTCTTATTTTTACTCCCTCGGCGCTGGGACTCTCCTCCCTCTTCTTCCATCATTGACTGAATGCGCATGTGCGGCAAGAGCCACGCGTGCATTCAGCCAGTCTCATAGGAAAGCATTCTCAATGCTTTCCTATGGATGCTGGTGTCTTCTCACTGTGATTTTCACAGTGAGAAGCGCGGAAACGCTTCTAGCTGCTGTCAATGAGACAGCCACTAGAGGCTGGATTAACCCATAGGTAAACATAGCAGTTTCTCAGAAAAAGGGTTAAACCTAGATGGACCTGGCACCCAAACCACTTCATTAAGCTGAAGTGGTCTGGGTGCCTATAGTGGTCCTTTAAGTTGGGTACTGATCCCTAGACCTAGGAAGTTATCAAAGACTAGTGACAAGCTAAATATACCTTTTTCGGTTACTAATTCTTTGATATTAATTGTATTTTGCAGGGATGGTGGAAATGATTCCTAAAGCTGAGACCCTAAGGAAAATCCAAGTTGAACATGGAGTCACTGGCTCATTTAAAGATCGTCCCTTGGCAGACTGGCTTAAAAAGCACAACCCTACAGAGGAGGAGTATGAAAAGGTGAGGGTGGTAATCTATTTCACTGAATATGGCATCTTCATTTAGTAATTGATATTCATTTTTAGTTGATCAATGTGGTTTCCCAGTGGGCAATGTACTTGTTTTGTTATTTTTACCAAGTAGGATTTGTTACCATGATGTACGTTGAAAATATTATTTATATTAACATCAGAGAGATATTTATTAGTGTGAAATGTAAAGACATACACCTTTCAGAAGGAGAAATCAATTTGGGAGTAGAATACAGAATTACAATACCGTATAATGGAATTCTAGTTCAGGAATGGTTAAAAGGTTCATTCCCAGCCTTTTCAGAACTCCAATTCAGATGATGCTTTGTCACCTTAAGGTATTGTAATCCTGCATATCCTCTTGATTTTGACCGTGCCTGGTCAGGGGAGCACTGTGAAGTTGAGACAGGCTCCCTAGACTACAGCATGAAGTTGTAGTGGGTTAGAGCACTGATTCTTTTATTGTCAATCCTCTACCAGCATAAAGCAGGTTTCACTGTTCCTGTGCCAGGAAGTATTCTCCTCTCTAGCAACTCAGCATATGGCTGACTTCTACTCTCGAATACCTGCACTTCAACGTGTGAGACATCATGGGCGAGAATAATAAAACTTGACATAAAAGTCAAATATAATATACTAATGCTAAGAAGGTGCCCTTGTCTGGTTTGAAATCATATACCTGTAGTCAGATACTTGCTGGCCTTGTATATAATGGTCAATAAATATAATATAGTACATCTATATATAAAATGCTATACTGTGTTGGGGGCTGTCGGCAGCTGTGAGCTTTGAACCATTAAGTTGCTAATGCATAAATATATGATTTCAAAGCAGCGGAATGGTGTGTATGTTACAAGCATAAACTTTGATCTAAAGCGGTGAAGGGGCTTAATAATGGGTTACATGTGATGTGGTATAGTATACAGTCTAATGCACATTATTTCTTTAAACAGGCAGTGGAAAACTTCATCTATTCATGTGCTGGGTGTTGTGTTGCAACATATGTGCTTGGCATCTGTGATCGGCACAATGACAATATCATGCTTAAGACCAGCGGACACATGTTTCACATTGACTTTGGACGCTTTCTTGGTCATGCACAGATGTTTGGGAATATAAAACGGTAAGAATATCTTTGACAACAAATTGACCTGTTGTGTGATTTTAATACAATCTTAGTCAAATAAAAAAAAAAATACTAGTATTACCTACCTGAGTGGAGGTGTCTGTTTTGTTACATTGTTAAAATAACACACTTTAAAAGATTAAACTTTTCATATATCATGGTTAATCGTCATGCGATTATGTTCAATTAATTGGGTTATTCTAATTATATATAATCTAGTGCTGAGATGTCATGCTTTGACCTGTTGGTCAGATCCTTTTTATGTAATGGAAAAGGAGCATTCTTCAGACAGGTTGTGTCTTTATAAAACAGACTTGTAATTGCAAGCAGTGGTGGATGTGTCCCCAGTGGCGGAATAGGTGGCAGAAATGAATTACCATATAATAGAATGCCTCAAAATTGTGTAGATCTTGTCCGATTTCTCTCCATACTCTGAAGCTGTGACAAGCTGCTGTATCTGGCAAAAACAAAAATGAAAGACATCTGTTTTGCTCTATCTACTTTCAATCTCATACCTCCACTGCTGTGATCTCTTCTCTCTTGTTTCTTACTTTGATCTTTCTTTTCCTTTTTTTTTTTAACACACAATTTCTGCATTCCTTCTTCTGATTATGGCTTTATATCTGCTTATTCCACCAGTTGCCATTTTTATGACTTTCAATCACAGTGTTGGCAGTAGGCTATGCGCCCCTTGCTAGTCGAATATCTCGTGCTTGTCTTCCCCCTTGAAAACTGTTAGGGAGCGTGTTAAACACCAGCGGTATGGTATCCTGTGTTTCCTGAGGAGAAATGTGAATGACTTGAAGGACTGCTGCCAGGCTAGTGTGCTGCCTGAGAAGTCTGCGAGGAATGAAAGCGACATAGGTTCAAACGAGTATGGTGTATGGTCTTTAACTGCTTCCAGTGTTTCTGCTTTGTCCCTCCGCTTCTGGAAGCTGATTATGAGGTCTCGAGGGGCCGTAGTAGGTGCCTTTGCTGGCTTTGGGGCCCTAAAGATGCTGTTCAGCTCTATGGCTTTCGCCTCTCGTGGTGGTAACAGCACTGCCAGGAGCGCTCGCACAAGATGCGGTAATTCGGCTGTTGGCGTATCTTCTGATATGCCCCGTAGGTTATTTGAGTTGCGTGTGTCCTCCAGGGCTGCAAATCTTCGGTCGTATTCTTCGTTGCAGATCCACAGTCTCTGGATCTCCTGCTGTATAAAAGTGATGTGGCGTCGGATGTATTCTCCAAAGCGCCCAGGAGTCCTGTCAGCCCTTGGATGTTTGATCGGAGGCCTGCCACATCTGTTTGGATGGTCGACTGGAGGTCTGCCAGTAATTGCTTGAGCACCTCTGTTGTCACTGGTGCTGAATCTGAGCTCTGGGGTTTTGGTGCCGGTGCTGACCTGGCCGGCAGAGCGGGTATTTCCTTACCTAGGGAAAAACCGTCCGAGATGACTGAGTGCGTCTTCGGGTAGTCCGCCATATTGCACCTAACAGCTCCCTGTGCCTTTCTCAGCAAGTCTGCTATGTCCAGGCCTTGCGGGTTTCTGCTTTTTAGTATTCCGACCCATGCCGGTTTACCCACTCTTAATTTGCAGCTGTTTGTGTGGGTTTGTGTTGCCCAAAATGGTACTTAATGGTGTGAAATCACTGGAGCTCCGGTGCCATGCGACTGTTTAGCTCCGTGGTTAGGCCCCAGCTTGACTATTTTAACCTCTATTTTGTCATTCAGATTTAAATTTTACAACTTTTTTTTAATTTTTTTTCAATTAACACCATTAAATAAAATATAATGCATTTTTATAGGCTTGTATCAAGTAACCAATGTAATCTATTTTATTTGTTAACCTAACAATATATATTATTTTAGTTGTATAAATGTTTACTCCCCTGCTTACTTCAATTACATGTCTACATGTACCTTTTCCTTCTGTAGTGACCGCGCTCCCTTCGTCTTCACATCAGATATGGCCTATGTTATTAATGGAGGAGACAAGACGTCCAGCCGTTTCCATGATTTTGTGGATTTGTGTTGCCAAGCATACAACCTTATCCGCAAGCACACTCACCTCTTCCTTAATCTCCTAGGGCTGGTGAGTGAGTCATAGAACTTGAGTTGGGCAGAAAGGCTTGTTTATCTCTACTGTTTTTTTAATGAAAATAATTTTTTTACTAATTTTGTAAGCATTGTAACGTGTAAACATTTGTCAGAATGGCTGTTAATTTGAAATCTTCTCCATGTTTTTATTTAAGGCCACTTAGAGTTAAAATATGGCACAATTACTTAAAAAAGATGGCTTTTACAAATTTACATAGTCAGCAGGAAAAGTACACAGGTAAAGATATTAAATGCATACATTATTTTCCCTTAATTGAGAGAAGAGGGGTATTTGATATAATTATATGCAAAAATCTACATAAAACTCTGTATTTAGATCTCTAGAAAATGCTAGAGCTAAATATGACATGGATCTTAACACATGTATATTATATCATATCAGTAACATTAAAAAATAAACGTAATCAGGACAGATGGACTACATGTGTGGTTCACATCTGCACAGTGGCCTACTGTGTTAAAATGTGGTCATTAGGATAGATGAAAAATTATGTTTTTTGATTCCAATAATTCTTATGACGTATGCTGATATGACCGTATTAGTACTGTTCTTCTATGTTTGTCTTATTTTAGATGCTTTCATGTGGCATTCCAGAACTGTCAGAGTTGCAGGATCTTAAATACGTATATGATGCACTGCGTCCTCAAGATTCAGAGTCTGATGCCACCACTTATTTCACAAGGTAATCAGAGCAGTCTGTGGAAATTCCTTCTAAATGATCAATAAAAAAAATACATATATAATGTGATGTCATAAACAGTATCCTAATCTTATTTATATGTTTTGGGATATTTTAGCTACGGGTTAACTAACCTGCCATAATAGACCTTCTCTTTATTTTCCTTCCCACAGACTCATAGAGTCCAGTCTTGGTTCTGTGGCCACCAAATTGAACTTTTTCATCCACAATCTAGCCCAGCTCAAGTTCAGCAGCTCAGATGAGCGTTTTGCTCTTTCTTTTGCTCCAAAGACATACACAATAAAGACAGATGGGAAGATCTGTGATGTCTTCTTGACCAGATACAAGAAAATATTTACTCCCAACAAAGGATACGTGAGTAATTATTCTGCGTTCTTTGTCTACAGTAGAGTTTCTTCAATTACTGCCTCTTACTTGTTTGGTTGAGGTTTCTAGGATCTTTTCACATAAGTAAAGCTGTAATCATGAAATAAGTAGATATGCTTGAAAAAAAACCTTATAATTGGGAGAAAACATTTGGTATTTTGAGTACTTGAGGTTACTCATAGAAAATATACATACACACCAGTTTTTAGTATAATTAACCAATCATTATCAGAATAGAATGTTCTGTGCTGAAATTGGTTGTCCATCTTGGCACACAAGCCCATCTAGAATCAACGATACCTTCAACAGAAGACTCATCTGTGCTGCTATGGAATGTTCTCCACCTTTCTCGATGTATATTTAGGACTGAGTATACTTAACTATACATCTCTATAATTATAACTTTAATATTTATATGTATAGTATATATAGTTAAAATTATAATTGTAGAGATGTGTAGTTAATATATATATATATATTAATGTGTGTGTGTATATATATATATAGTTATAATTATAGAGATGTATAATTATATTAAGATATTACATATTTTAATCACACCAATCCACATTTCTATGTAAGGGTTTTATTTTGTCTGCATGATGCATAGGAAATATTATGTGGCATTTGGTCTTAATAATAGATTACCCAATATAACATGCTATGCTGCAGTTATTCATATATCATTGGTCTTTACCATACTTCAATTCAATTCCTTCAGTTGAGATTCTGAGATCCTTGGTATAACCCTGTCTTTAAAAAAAATCCTTTGGGTCTGCATGGTTGTGGGGCAGATTATATTATTGACAGTAATAGTCATTGAAAGTTTTCTCAATTCTCTCTGGAGATAGACAGGTCTCACCCTTATATATAAGGAACCTTAATTATATTGACCACCAGCAGCTATCAGCTTATATTGATTCACAACTGCTATCCATCACTACCCTTTCCTCTGCCTTGAACGCTGCAGCCCCACTCCAAGCATGCACATTGAGGAGGACACACCCCCAACCGTGGCATACTAAATCAACATGCTACCTTCAAAGATGCTCCCTGGTGTGCTGAACGCTCCTGGAGGAAGTCTTGCGCCCAGTCAGACTTTCTCCCTTATATATTCATATTGTGTTCATACAGCGCAGCCCTTGCCAAACAGTCATACTTTTCCTCTCTCATTAGTTCATGCTCCTGCAATCCCAGGCCTCTCTTTGAAACCTTTAGCTCTCTTCTTTGCCCTGCTGTGGCAACTCCCCAAACTAAGCTTACAACCGATAGCTTTGCTTGCTACTTTACCGACATGATTGAACAGCTAAGGAGAGAATTCTCCCCACCTTGCTGTTCTCTTTTGCAACCATGTAGATCATGTCTTTCCTACCCTTCAGACTTTCTCCCAGCTACTGAACAAGAGGTGGCTGCGCTTCTCCTTTCCTCTCGCCCCACCACTTGCCCGCTCGATGCTGTCCCATCTCACCTTATCTCTCTCGTCTTGTGCCTTCCTTAACACACAACTTCAACTACTCTCTCTCTCTTCTGGTGTTGTCCCTGCTGACTTTAAACATGCCACTGTAGTACCTATCCAGAAAATAACACCTCTTGACTCGTCCTCTAACTATCGTCCCATATCCCTTCTCCCTTTTTTGCTCAAAGCTTCTGGAAAGACTTGTCTTTACCCGTATCTCTCACTTCCTCAATTCCAACTCTCTCCTTAACCCTCTTCAGTCTGGCTTCCGCCCTCTCCACTCTACTGAGACTGCTCTTATCAAAGTTACTAACCACCTAATTGCAGCTAAATCCAAAGACCACTACTCCATACTAGTTCTTCTTGACCTCTCTGCCTTTGAAGAGTTTGAAGAAGGAGAGCATGATCAACGGTGTCAATCACTCAGTCTCTGTGACTCTGTCCTCTCATGGTTTTCCTCTTATCTCTCCCAACGCTCATTTAGTGTCTCCTTTTCTAATGATACTTCCTCCCCTCGTCCTGTCTCGTTTGGAGTCTCCAAAGGCTCTGTCCTTGTTCCCCTTCTATTTTCTCTTTATACTGCCTCTCTTGGCAAACTTATTACCTCTTTTGGATTCCACTACCAGCTATACGTTGATGACACTCAGATATATCTCTCCTCCCCGGACCTTTCCCCTGCTGTCCTGCAACGTGTCACTGCTTGCCTTTCTTCCATTTCTGACTGGATGTCCTCCCGCTTTCTGAAACTCAGTCTCTCTAAAACTGAGCTCCTTGTCTATCCTCCTCCTAATACAGATCCTCCTCTTTCGCTCTCCCTTCAAGTTAGTGGTATCCACATAAGTCCATCCTTGCAAGCGCGCTGTCTTAGCGTCATACTTGATTTTGGCTTCACATTTGAGCCTCACATCCACTATTTTGCCAAATCCTGTAGATTCCATCTTAAAAACATAGCCCGCATCCGCGCCTTTCTTACGCAAGATGCTACCAAGGAGCTTGTCCATGTTCTAGTAATTTCCTGCATGTATTATTGTAACCCTCTCCTAATTGGTCTTACCAAAAGCCGCATTGCCCCGCTACATTCTTTAATGAATGCTGCCGCCAGACTGATTTTCCTCTCTAGTCGGTCCTCTCACACCTCACCCCTCTGTCAGTCCTTACATGACAGGAGTCCATTCAAAGTGCTAACCCATACCTATAAGCACTGAACAATTCTAGCCCCTCTTATATCTCTTCACAGATCCATAAGTATGTCCCTTCTCGGTCTCTCTGCTCTGCCCGTGACTTTCTCCTGTCCGTTGCTCGCACCCGTACGGTCAACTCACGCTTGCAGGACTTCTCGCGGGCAGCTCCCTTCCCAGGGAATAGCCTGTCTAGCCCATCAAACTCTTCCCTAGTCTTGCATTTATTAAAAAGTGCTTCCCAAAGTAACCTCTACCTTACATACCTGTCTCTTGCTCTGTCCTAAAGGGCAGCACTCTACTCTCTCCTCCAGCTCTGCTTCACTCCCACCTTATTTGATTAATAATGTGTTTTATACCCCACCTCCTATATACTGTAAGCTTGTTTGAGCAGGGTCCTCTTCAACCTATCGTTCCTGTAAGTTTTCTTGTAATTGTCCTATTTATAGTTAAATCCCCCCTCTCATAATATTGTAAAGCGCTGCGGAATCTGTTGGCGCTATATAAATGTCAATAATAATATGTCCTTTCCTTATATATTGCATTTGTATATTTCATAAACGTAAGGGAATTTCAAAACAATACAAGCTGTATACACACATTCTTCTGTAGGCTTTCCTGCTGTATTTGAACATGTGGTATTCCAGGATAGGTGTAAGAATGTGATCTCCCTGTTTGTTTGTTTTTTGGGGGGAGGGGGAGTTTTATTATGGTGGATAGATGCTGTCATTTACATTTATATAATGCATACAATTATGAATATGTATGTTTTCATTTGTGTGTGTAAAATATTTATTCATAATCTGCATCTCTAATGTGATTACAGGTTTTTGTCATAAAGGTGGTGAGAGAAAGCCCTCATGAAACCTCATATATTCAACGATCATATGAGGAGTTCCAGGAAATGCACAGCAAACTCCGACTCTTCTTCCCATCACAGCTCCCAAGGTACCTACCTGCAGCTACTAAGATTATACTTCTAAACTACTACAAACTGTACTACAGAGCTAATCTAATATCTCAGTTATGACATGTTTTAGTGTAAATATTCTTGGCAAAGAAAAATGGTAAAGATAGACTTATTAAATTATAGTAATTTTTCATATATTGGACATCTATATTTCCACTTAGATTTGTGAATATGATTTTGGAATATAATCTGCACATGCAAATAATGACTGTTGAAATTCTTGAGTTTCCTGATATTTTCATGGAAAGATCATATTAAAGATGGAAAGTTTGTGTCTCTTTTGTCAAAGAAAATGCCCAATCTATGGTACCAGTATTTAATACTTTTCCCTAGATACAACGTAAATGAATCAGGAGTGTTTTTTTCATAGCTCTACCTATAAGGATGACCATTCAACTTTGTACCTACTAATGTCACTATTCCATCCTTTTCAGTTTCCCCAGCCGCTTTTTGATTGGGCGTTCTCGTGGAGAGGCAGCAGCCGAGCGCCGGAAAGAAGACTTGAGTGCATATGTTTGGCATTTAATCCATGCAACTCCTAAGGTTGCTGAGGTAAGACATTAGTAGTTCACACTTTTACAGCAGGTACCTGAATATAATAATAATAAGTTCTAGGTAAAATAAAATACCTGAGATAAAAGGTAAACTGCCACTTCCCTGAATTTGTTATATCATGTTTATTTATCCCTATAACAAATATCCTTACGAGATGTAAAAAATTAAATGTAGAAATCCCCCTCTTTATCCTGCAACTGATTGTCTTTCAATCATTGTTATAGGTTGTGTCTTGTTGCCTGTCAATCACTGTTATGAGCTCTGTTCTTTGTAAGAGAAAGCATACAGAAAAGAGGAGACATGAAACAATGTTTCTATTCCTCATCTTCATTTTGTCCTGGCTTTGAATTGTCTGAGCTGGATTATATAATTTGCTAAAACATTTCACATAAAATGTATGAAAATAAATGAGAATGGAGATTGCATGGAAAAAAGGTTATTACAAGTTTTGGATAATTTTATACTCAACTGTATAATTTAAAAGTAACAGTTCCCCTTTAATTTGAGCACTTTAAGTCATGCAGTTCCTGCAAAAACCCAAAGAAACTAATATGTTTTAACACTAATTCAGGTTCCACTGTAATCATGAGCAGTTGATATCCCACAGACTCCTGTTCTGTATTAAGTCTTAAATTCCCATGCCAATCACACATGGTGCCACAGCAGTTGTATTGATTGAAAAACTAAAATAGTAACAGGTGAAAAAGCAAAACAGAAGCTCCTACAAGAGTTTTATTCTATGATTGACTTCCATGAATGAAAATGCTTGTGTCAATGCTGTATGATGCAGGTTGAACGGTCATGTTTTTCAAAAGGAAATTTATGGTTACAGGCGCATGTAAAATCTCTCAACCAATAAGGTTTCTGTCATACCTTTCTGTGTCTGTGTGGGATTTGCAAATTAAGTTGTCTGCTTAATACTCTCATGGCAAACATGAGATACCAGGGTTTTCTTTTATTGACTTTAGTACAGGTGATGTCAAAAAAATTTGGCAATGAATTAGCTTTTTCATTTTTTTCTTCTCAGTTTCAGTTTTTATTCAGCCATGCACTGATTTGACAGCTCAAATAGAATGTCAAGCAATATAAACAAAATGTATCTAGGTGCAAGGGAAACTGAATTGGTTGTATTGTTTGTTGTATTAGTTATGTATGTATAACCGTTAGGCCTGCTGTTCTCTTACATTAAACTGTTTAGTTGCATTAACAAAGAAACAAAACATCAGATTGAAGGTAAGAGGTTTGGACTACACAGGCACCTTTTAACTCTCAGATTTGGTCTATTGAATTAAACCATAATGCTTCAGTGTGAAGCACTTAGAGGGGAGCCTGGCTCCAATAGACCCCTGCTTCTTCCTGTTGTTTTGTGTCCCTTATTTTTGTAGTTAGTATAGAAAACGTAAGTGCACTCATCCACTTACATCATAAAAGAGGGCCTGTCCCTTGCTGATCCTCTAATCATGCACCTTCAGACTGATCAACTGTGTCAAACAAAAGTGTAAAATGATTTGTTTCTCCAAGCACTCAGGGGCATTAACTTTATAGTTTATTAAAGAAGCACATAAAAAATAAAACCTTTATTTATTTTATGCTAAACTTGAGTGATTTCTTTTTATCTCAGCTTGTGTGTCTGTGGATTTGACTGATGCAAAAGCATAGAAATTAATTGTGTATCAAGGGAGTCCATAGGATTCCATGGAAAAGCAGCTGATGTAAGTGTGTGTCATACAGTGTGCACAGATCACAGTGATGCTGTTTATTGCAGGTGTTTCAACAGGTAAAACAGGGCGTGTTTGTAGAATGCAGCAGGGCGTTATGTATATTTCATGTTATTAGTTCATGGGTGAGCCCTGTTTGAGTTATTTTACGTATCTTTCCACCCCACCACCACCACAAACCATACAAAGGGATCTCCTTACTTAAGATCCAGCGTGCAACGATCTTCAAACTTAGCCATGACCACCTATCTGGGGTTTTATTTTTAGTTCTACGTGGAAGTTACAGGAATTGGACACACACAGAAATACGTGAAACATGATAATTCACACGTGCTCTCCCAGCTCTAAGAGCATGTACATTCCATGCCCCATGAATAATTTAGAGTCTTTTCAGTATGCTAATGTTAATTCAAAGGGAGCATAGAATAAAGGGTGTAGACCTGATGGGAATTTTTAGCCTGGCCACTTTATTATGCAAGTAAAGGAGCAATATCTTCCTTTTGTTGTTTTTAATGTACACAGTTGTAATAATTGTGTTGTTGATTGCTTATAAGCACAATAATTGGAGCCAGCTTGATTGTTTTAAGATTGTATTATGAGGCAGATTTTGTAGTAATATGGGTTGTAAAGAGTGGCTTTCATTTTAAGGCCTTTTCAAACAAAGATATCCACGGGATAACCAGTTTGTCTGGTTGCTGCAATTCAATCTGGTTAAGTTAGCCTGCTATTAAAATAATTCGGCTGCTCCTAGCAACCTGTGTTTGGTGATCATTCATGTCAGATTTGGCTGCAGAATACATTTCACATATCAAATGTGCCTAACTTTATTGTAGGCGAGATTATCTGGAGAGGGGGTATAGTTTATCAAGTGTGGGTCAAAGATTTTTCCTCTTGTTCCCGTGTCACATACCAATACAGTTGGAATTATTAGACACTAATTAAACAACTGCATTTATGCAAAATTAGTCTGTGCATATAAAGAGCCAGTTTTCACATGCACAAAACTGGTCCTCCAGCAGTGACCCCCCTTCCCCACAAAAAAAGCAAAAGATGGGCCACAGGCATGCATTTAAAAATGTTGCTCTTTAATTATTTGAAGAGACATCCCCCGAAAATAAGCCCTAGCTTATTTTCAGGGGATGCTCGTAATATAAACCCTACCCCGAAAATAAGCCCTAATCGCTAGTTCACTAATCTATCCCGAACATAGATTCGCAGGACTCCATTTGTAAGTAAGCTAATCTATATTTGGAAAGGTTTCCCCAAACATAGATGCACAGGATTCCATGCCCTAGTGATATACTCTATGTTCGGAGGAATTTCCTCAAATGTAGACCTGTTTTTTTGCACATGCTTGCTACCGTTTCCCCTCGAAAATAATCCCTAGTGCATTTTTCTGGGGAAAAATTTATATAAAACGGCACTCTGAAATGGTAATGTGTTGGAGTGTAGCATTATTACAACGCTGTAACCTTTTAATATGGCCAAGTTAACTAGGGCAAAGGTTAGAACTGTGGTTGGGGGTTTTAGGTATAGTGCCAAAGATGACTCTGGGTAAACGTGGTATTTTTAGGGTTAGGGAGGTGATCTGGGTTAATGGGTACCAGCCTACACAATGTTTTTAGCTTAGGTTGTTGTTTGTTGTGTTTTTAGTATTAGGGGTAGCTTAGGGACCAACCTACACAATGCAATTGGCTGTAACTCCTATATTTCTCTGCCTGACACCTACGTGAGAGTGATAGGCCCTGCATCTTTAACTCTAGGTTTCCCTATTTTTGCTGCAACGATACAGGATTTTTGCAGTGTACCTTTCACTGTGATGCTTTTCATAATTTTAAAAAGAGACCTACAGCAGCGCGGGCGTATTTTAATGTGACAAAATGAAAGCATTTTTATGAACCCTTTTAAAATATTTAGTTTGTGTTTGGTTCTCCGCTGTTCTGCAGAATATATTTTGAAAGTCAATAAAGGTGCCTTTATGTATTTCTCTTGGTCATGAGCCAATTAAATTCACTTCTAGTTTCCATATTACTGTGTGTTCTCATAACTGCTGATTAGTGGTTAATGTTTTACCTTGGGCACCTGCTAGTTTAAGCGCATTGTCTATAGTTCACTGTTCATGACATTTGTGCCAGTTAATTATGTGGAATTTAAGAGAAAACAGATGGGCAGGAGATTTTTTAAATTAGCATTTTGTCCATGCATTTGCTGTAGATTATGTTTGTAGATATGTTTGTGTGCAAGGTGCAGTTTTACTTTTTTGGGAGTGGGGGATGTGCACATATCATCGTCAAGAGTCTGCCAAAACTATACTGAAAAAAAATTAATTAGGGGTGCTGTGACACTGAGATAGAGTTCATGTTAAAACCACTGCAATCATGATTGGGTTTTTTTGTGATCGGTTCTGAATTCCCCTAATTCATTCTCCCCTAGTGTAGAGATCATGTAAATGCTGTGAGTTTACATGAAAACAAAAATGCAACCAAAAAACTAAAACCGGGAATAATGTCAAATGTGGAAAGGAATTACTATGCCATTGCGTTCTTCCTGGTATGTCCTAACATTCTTAGTGTATCTAGCTGTATTCATGTACTGGTGTATTGAGGTTCTATCTTGTGAAATTGATATATGCTTTTATTTTTTTTCTGCAGTGTGATCTGGTTTATACATTTTTCCACCCCCTTCCCCGTGACGAGAAAAATGGCAGTAACACTATAGCCCAAAGGCCTTCAGGTAAACTTGCAACAGACACAGGTGGAATAATGTAATGCTCTAGGTGGAACATTAGCTGAGCATGTGACAGGGGTCCAAATGAACCCACATTCATTACCTCTCACAGCACTTTGTAAAAGACTGCATGGAATCTGTTCCTACAATATCTCAAACAAAAATGTTACATTTCCAATCATACAATGTTTTTCATATGGCAGACTGATCTAACATTGGAAGCAGTGGCGGATCCAGAGCCTGATCTCGGGAGGGGCACTTGTAGATTATTTAAAGAAATAATCCAGACACAATAACCACTACAGCTCAGTGTAGTGGTTATGGTGTCAATAGTGCCGGGACCCCCTCCCACAGTAAGTAGTCAAACCGTTTAAGAACAGTTTGACAACTTACCTGAGATCTGCTGGGAAATGGGGCTGTAGTAGGGCATAGGAGCAGTGGTGTGTGTGACTGATGCAATGTGTAAGGGGTGCAGTGTGTGTGTGAAGGTTGTAGTGTGTGAGTGAGGGCGGCAGTGTATGTCAGGGATGCAGTGTATGTGTGGGACAGTATGTGTGTGTGTGTATGGGGGGCAGTGTGTGTGTATGGGGGGGCAGTGTGTGTGTGTGTATGGGGGGGCAGTGTGTGTGTATGGGGGCAGTGTGTGTGTGTGTATGGGGGAGCAATGTGTGTGTGTATGGGGAGCAATGTGTGTATGTGGGGCAGTTTATGTGTATGGCGGCAGTTTCAGTGTGTGTTGGGGCAGTGTATATGTGGGGCAGTGTGTGTATAAAGGCAGTTTGTGTATAAAGTGTGTGTATGGGGGCAGTGTGTGTGTATGTGGGGGGCAGTGTGTGTGGGTTGGGGGCAGTGTGTGTGTATGGGGGCAGGTGTGTGTATAAAGGTGTTTAATGGGGGCAGTATGTGTGTATAGGGGGCAGTTTGTGTGTATGGGGGGGCAGTTTGTGTGTATGGGGGGGCAGTTTGTGTGAATGGGGAGGGCAGTTTGTGTGAATGGGGGGGCAGTTTGTGTGTATTGGGGGGGCAGTATTGGGGGCAATATATATGTGTGTGTGGATTTTTTTTATTATATATATATATTTTTTTTTATTTAATTAAAATAAATATTATCCTATGTCCCCCCTCCCTTCTTACCTTTACTGGGGAGGAGGGGGGGACATATTTCGATCCCTGGTGGTCCCAGTGGTGATTCATTGGTGGTCCAGTGGGGAGAGTGAACTCTAGCCCGCGCTCCCGGGCTAGAGTTCACTCTCGCGAGATTTGGAGCGTTGCCGTGGTAACCGCGGCAACGCTTCAAATCTCACGAGAGGAGGACCCGGAGGAGCTGCAGACTGAGCTCCGGGTCCTCCCTTTCACTCCCTCCCGCCGGCCGCCCGCACAGTGCCTGCGGACCGGGAAGGGAGATCTGTGATCTCCCTTCCGGTCCACAGGCACATTGCAGGGCTAGCACCTGCATGTGCTGGCAGGGGAGGGAGACCGGCGGAATTCTCGGGGGGGGCAATTGCCCCGTTGCCCCCCCCCTGGATCCGCCACTGATTGGAAGGCATTTTTCAAAAACCATACTTGGCTTGGATGGAACATAATTCTAACCACTCTTGCCATGGATACATCTAGTACAAAACATGTCAAATACTGTAATTGTTAATGGAACACTATAGGGTCAGGAAAACAAATCAATTCCTGATCCTTTAGTGTTAAAATCACAATCTGGCCCCCTAAATATTTCACTCTGCTGGTACTCACTCTGCCCATGATCTGCCTCATTGGCTGACATTATCAGAAGTGATGATCTGAGCCAATTACAATGCTCTTGGATTGCCAAAGAGGTGTGACGGGGCGGAGCCAAATGCCACCCTATCCAATCTCTGTCTATTCATAGAGATGCAATGAATCAGTGCATCTCTATGAGGAAAGTTTAGTGTCTCCATGCAGAGGGTGGAGACACTGACTGTGCCCAGGTAGCACCTCTAGTGGCCAGTGGAGGTGTCCCAAGGCTGTAGTGTAAACACTGCCTTTCTCTGTGTTTACTGGAAAAAGACTAACGTTATACTCACCAGAACAAATACAATAATAAGTGTTTGTAACAATAAATCAGTTTTTCCTCATCTATTAGACATCATTCATAATTTGCCTTAGACACTGAATTGTTTCGTTTTTTTACAAGCAGTATTTGATATTTTTTCTTTCTGGTTTGGTTGTGTTTAGTTTGTAATATTCTGTATGTTTTTCATAAAATTTTGATTTTGTTTTTCAGATGCAACATGGGCTGTTCCTGTAGGCACAGTTGGAGGGGAGATCAAACTCTCAATATCATACAAGCAAAAAAAGCTGTTAATCATGGTGATGCACATCCGTGGTCTGGTAATTATCTATTTTTATGTCTTTTATCCGTCTGGTTCTGTGTTCATGCATGTATTAGTTAAATAAGGCTTGCTCGTAAATATCTAATTATACTTTGCTAGAATAATATTCGCAGTTTAGCAAGGATGGGTTAGAAGAGGCCGTTGTCTAATTTACATGCATATTTCTATATAATTATGTATTTTCTTATGATATACAAATTTTCATGCCTAAGTAAGAGTAAATCAACCTGCTTGCTCTGTTAATCTCTAAAAGAAGGGCTGAGTGTTTAGAGAAATCTGAATTTAAAGCTGCAGGAACTGACTGATCCAATTGCAGTTAGTTGTGTATGTTAATTTGCTATTTTTGTGTTTTTGCTATTAAAATCTATCTGGCCTTCAAATTCTAGTCAGTGGGAAAAATATCAAAAACAAAACAAAAGAACTCAAAACAAAATTAAACTTCAGATAAAACATAATAATATATTTAGTTTTAGCCAGTACAGAAATGGTGTGCCATTTTTTTTTTTAAATAATTTTTTATGCTTGGAAAATTGAGGTCTGGAAAGTACCTGGAACATTGCTTTTATTTGTTAGGACAATGTATTGCATTGCTGTTACCTACCACAAAGGGCGTCTTGAAATGTTCACATATATTTTAAGGCTTTTTTTTTTTTTAAAGTGTGGATCTAAATAATATGTAATTCTGAAGCTCTAACTTTTACTTAAGAATAAAAAGTTTAAAAATAACATGCTACAAATGATAATTGAATCAAACTTTTTTTTTAATTAAACAGCCTTTGCAGGATAACAACGAGCCAAATCCTTATGTGAAGATTTACCTCTTGCCCGATCCACAGAAAACCACAAAAAGGAAAACCAAAGTAGCTCGTAAAACATGCAACCCAACATACAATGAAGCGGTACGTAACTGCTTTAAACACACAATGCTAATTTTGCTTCTGAAGTGTGAATGGAACATACTGTATGTACACTCTTCAGCCAAAGAACAATGTCCAAATAAGGACAAAATTAATGGTGCTAAAGCATAATACAGTTTGTAAACACAGTATATTTCAAATAATACGCCTTGCTTTATACTTAGCACTAGTTGCTAACACTCTGACTGAACTGTAACAGAAAAGATGTGAGTAAGTATATATTTCAGTATTTTTAAAATGGGATACATTGTGAGGCTTAAAGAAATAATACCGATTTTTTTTAATTTTATTATTATTTATTTATTTATTTATTTTATTATTATTTACATTTTTTTTAGTTAATTTATTTATTTTGGTATTATGGATCTGGCGATCATAATTCCTGGCATGCAAGCCAGCATACATACAATCACAGTATCATGGCAGTTTTGTCACAACAGTGATAACAGTGGAATGCACAATCAAAGTAAAGAGAAGTAACAGAAAACAAACAATCTTGTGATACTTACGAGTTTACTATGGTAACTAGAGAAAAGGGTTACTTTACGACTATTGTTCGTCACAAAGCATTTCCAGGGGAATCTGGAAAACCCTTGCCCAGGGTAATAAAACTGATTTTAATGAACATATATCCTATGATGAAAAAAAACTATTTGACAGATCTTAACTGATCATATGTTAGAGTTCCAATGTAAATGATGCTGTTTGCTATTTGTTCCCAGGTTTCTAAAATTAGTCCATGTGTGGTTTAATTCAGCAATCCAAGCTGTAAATGCAAACAACAGTCTCTGTCCTGCTTTTCTCCCACTGAATTATCAGGATGTTTACTTATCGTATATGAAAAAATAATTTTTAAGTAGTTACTAAAATATATGTACAATGAACAATTTAAATAAGCGGTTTCTCATTTACACCTTTTAATGACGTGGAATATCTCAGTTGATCTAACTTATTGTCAGTGTAAGCTTTATAAGTCAGTATCTGCCTTTGAAATGTGAAATAACTTGCCCAATTTACTATGTAATTTAGTAGCATTACATATGTTCACTACTTAAAGCGTTACACCAATCACCATGACCACCTAATTAATTTGAAGTGGTCATGGTGGTAGGAGCCTGGATATGCACTATTTCTGCTTAAAACACTGCACATCCAGAGTAATTAGCACTTTTGTGCCCTGAGCAAGTTGCACCCCCAGCACACGTGATGTCAATTCTGTGCATATTTTAAATATATTGCCAGCTCACATTGCATGATGGCAACAGACATAAAAATCTTCGTCATTGCAGGCAAAGCTTGTTATCCCCTCTCACTGGGCGCTCCCTCCATCACTTAGATAGGGTTTTGTTTTTCTTTTGCTTTTACAATTTCCCTCCCCTCGTCGGCTTAGAATGCATTCTGACACAAAACAAAATGCCATACTCTAAAACATGGTTATAGAGAATTTTATGTTCTCTAATTTTTACAAAACAAAATTGTTACCTGCACACTATCCTAAAAAAAAACATTGTACCTATTGTACCTATTACAGCAATTGCCATTAAACTGGTGGCTAACCTGACAATGTCAAAGCAAAAACTTGTTATGTTACTTACTAATCTCAGATAATATTTTGTGTTTCTTATGGGCTTTTTTTTTTCTTTCTTCTAAACTATCCTAAACATAATTACAGTTGGTATATGAAGGAATTCCTGAAGGAGATCTACAACAATGTGAAATTCGACTTTCTGTGCTGAGTGAGGAAGGCTTCTTTGAAAATATTCTGCTTGGAGAAGTCCGTATCCGCTTAAGAGATTTGGATCTCAGTTGTGAAAAGAAATGCTGGTTTCAGTTGGGTTCTCACAGCCAAGCAACTATTTAAGCCTCCTTTGCCACTCTTCGTCATCACAAAAAAGGGTGTTATGAGTCTTGGAGGTCACAAAAACTTGTGTTTTTTTTTTTTCTTTTTATATGGTTATTTTATCAAAAAACAAGCTCCGGGAGTTTTTTTCTTTTCATTTAATTGATGACTGATATGAGATTATATTTTCTTTTCTAAGGGAATTAGAGATGCTGCAAATAAAACAGGCTTCCTTCTAGAGAAGGGTTTTGGACAAAAGACTGGAAGTATTAAAACAGCTTAATAAGTTTACCTTGTGTCAAGGGAACCTGATTGAGACGAGAATAGCTGTAGTATAGATGGGACATGTTTTTGAAAGGGTAAAAATAGCATTAGAAGGGGATTAATAATTTTATTTTAAAAAATTAAAATAAGAATACGTCCTTTAGAGACGTCAATAGAGTTTGGGGGGAGTGATTCAAGGATCAAGCAATTCAGGGAGAAAGGTCTGATTTCTATTGCAGCATCTGAAATAGTTAACTGTACCAGTTTACATGGTTCTTGGCACTTTTTTTTATTTTAAAAAGGTCCGAACATTGGAAAAATTTATAGTTTGGTTTGCACCTTAGTGCATTATGTAATAGTGTAATAGTCATCCATTTCTTGATGAATTTTTTTTTATTTTTTTTCAATCAATTGATTGAATATATTTTTCCTGTTTGTAATTACATACTTCTTATCTAAGAATTATTAGAAGTTCAGAAAAAAAGGAAGAAAAATTTCTGGTAAACAACAATGAGCATGTATCCATGAGAAATTGTGACTGCAGAAAAGAATGCCAGTTAGTGTCATGGCGCTAAAGGGACTTAATAGAGTTGTTGATTCTATTAAAAATAACTTTTACTTTTGTTAATATTTTTATACTTTTGCAGTCTATACCTGATAAATAAAAATATTATTTTCAGGCGTTACTGTAATATTTATATTGGCAGGAAGCAGGAAAAGAGAGCATTGTAGCGTTTAAGATCATTCAGTGTCTTTTTATTTAGTTTTTTTTCCCCCATTTTTTTTCATGATGATGGGATCGTTCCCTGTTGGCCTAAGATGCTTTTGCAACATACATGTCATGACAGATGTACTTCCACTTAAACTGTAGATATTTAATGATCAATGATAGAAAATATATTTATAGTGGAAAATTAACATAGGGTACTTAGGATGTTTCTTTTAAATAGTCTTTGGAGTGAACTGTTATTTTCACACTCCAGCATGATGCCAAGAAATGATACCTTATATAGATTTTCTTCTACAAACATAAGATTTTGTAAATGAAGGCATTTAGGTGTATTTTTTTTTTTTTTAAAGCAAGAGTAAGGTTATCTGCTCCTTACCTCTGCATTAAATCAACGTGCAGTGTATGTACAGCAGGTTTTCCATCTCCAAGTTATGAAGAAAGCCTGTAATTTGCTGAGGTGGGACTTGGGTTATGTTAGGTCTGTGATTCTCTAGAGGGGGGAACTGGGGTTTACATAGACTGTGCCACTGTTAGAGATGTAAAATTTCCGGAAATTTTGAAGCCATGGGGGAAAACAAAGTGTTTTTGGAATTTTTCTGAAAAATTGAAGGAAAAAAAAAAATCCAGAGTGGAGTATTTTTTACAAATTGAAAATCATTTTGTTACACTGGGAACAAGAAATGCTGTGTATATAAAAGTATGATGCTTGAAATAGAAGTACAGCTCATTTAGTAATTGATAAACTAAACTTGCTTTTTAAAACTTATTTTGTTTTGTTACAAATAGAAGGTCTTAGAATAGAAGGTGACATTTTACCTGTACATGGGATAAGGTATCCCCCACCCCTTTAACTCAAAAGCAACAAAAATTGAAACCATCAACATAAAACAAAAGATCCCCTATAATCCTCCTCCGGGAATTTGACTGGGAGAGAGATAACAATCACCCAATCATATTTGCACCAAGTGGACACATGGCATTGAAGGATGTAAGGACTACCTCAATATTTAAGTTTCATAGCGGGGTAAATTCTCAAGACTTTCATGAAGGTCTTCATGTTTTATAACTTGAATACCATGTCATAAACATATTATTTATCACTGTAAAAGAACATATTCCACACTCCATATTTTTTCAATTTTTCCAGGAAAAGAAGAACGGCGTTGGGGGAAAAAAAGGGAAATGTATTTTTTCCCAATTTTTCCATTTTTTTTTCAGGCCTTCCCATCTCTAGCAACTGTACAATTTAAAGAAATTGCTTCCCAAGGAGAGCTGGTTTTAATGAGGGCAGTGATTCATCTGCCCCTGCCTAATACTGACCACAAATGTTATGTCTATGGAATGTGTATGTGCTCAATAAATTACTCAATCTGTTCTTTTATGTTCTGTTCTGTTTGTGTGGTGGTGTTTTTTTGGGGCAAGGATGAACTGAGATGCTTCTCTATAGCAGGGTCTCGTCACTCCTATCATCCCAAAATAGACCTGGCAGACACATAGCTAACACAAGCAATGGGTATATTTATGCATAAATCTGAGGAACCCAATACATGCATTTCAAGTCTCTGTTAACTTATAGTAGTTGCTCTAAGTAGCTGCTTGATTGACAATACCACCTGCGATCCAGGTTAGAAATTGTCAGACGGTCTCACATTTTGTCAGAATAAAAAGTGCCTGCTTCTTAAAGGACCACTCTAGGCACCCAGACCACTTCAGCTTAATGAAGCGGTCTGGGTGCCAAGTCCCTCTAAGATTAACCCTTTTTTTTTTTATAAACATAGCAGTTTCAGCGAAACTGCTATGTTTATAAATGGGTTAATCCAGCCTCTAAAGCCTCTAGGGGCTGTCCTATTGACAGCCGCTAGAGGCGTTTGCGTGCTTATCACTGTGAAAATCACAGTGAGAAGACGCCAGCGTCCATAGGAAAGCATTATAAATGCTTTCCTATGAGACTGGTTGCGCGCGCAGATCCTGCCGCGCATGCGCATTCAGCCGAAGAGGAGGATCGGAGGCGGAGGGCTCCCCGTCCGGCGCTGGAAAAAAGGTAAGTTTAACCCCTTTCCTCTCCCCACTATAGTGCCAGGAAAACAAGTTTTTTTTTCCTGGCACTATAGTGGTCCTTTAAAATCACACTGGAATTTCAGTGTCTGGTTTTACAGTCGTGCGTTGAGTGGGATATTACCACCAAAATAGTTAAACATGCATATTTTATTTTAATGTGTTAAAATGTTTTATCATTTTACTTTAAATTTTTTTATATATACTATTTTCATGGATGTAAAAAGCCTCTCCTAAATAACAGGATTTGTAGCTTTGCCCTGTTAGGCCTTTTCTCTCATGCACTACAAAAATAAAGAATGATTAAAAGAATATATATATGTTTATTAAAATAATAAATACACACATATCAGTGGTAAGAGAAGTGTATATTAATCTATCTACACTATTCTAGTGGCTAAATATGTGCATAGTAATAATGGTGGTGTCCCTTTTATCTTAATGTTGTCCTCTCTTTTAATTAAAATAATAAAAAAAAAAATATTCCTTATATTTGCACATGAAATACAGAATTATAGATACAGTTATTCAAAAAGCATTATTTTATGATAAGCACAAAACAAGGGCTGAAAGCCTGTAAAAATTAAAATACAAAAACAGTAACCGTAAAACACTAGTGATCCCACGTTCCTTACTTATCTTGGTATCAAATTACCAGCAGACCCTACCGCGCTCCATAGACTAAACTACACACCCATAATTGACAAACTCATCTTGGACATGGAGACTTGGGTGGACAAACCTATTTCCTGGATTGGGAGAATAAACTCGATCAAGATGAACATTCTACCCAGAATTCTATTCCTATTGCAGGCCATACCAATCCCCATCACAAAACGTGATCTCGTCACATAACAACGGGCAATCAATCGATTTATTTGGCAGAACAGGAGACACAGGGTATCCCATAATATACTCTATCGCCCCAAAACGAGAGGTGGCCTGGGACTACCCCACCTACACTTTTATTACATAGTGGCCCAAATAGCCCTATGGCACTTCCCAGACACTAGAAGGTGGGTAGACTAGGAATGGCTGCTCATGAAATCAGACCTCCTACAATTCTACATCTGGACCCTGAAAGAGCACTCCCGAGAATGGCGTGCCCAGCCATCACCAACTCAATTCAGCTATGGGACAAGTTCGCCCTTAAATATGAATTAACATCCACATCCTCCCCCCTCACTCCCATATACCGCAACAGAGCCTTCACACCAGGCATGAGACCAAGGGACTTCAGGGGCCTAGAACAAGCTGGCCTCCAGAGAGTCCACCAGTTGTACACTGGCAACACAATAATTCCCTTCCCAGAACTGCAAACTAGAGCAACCTTAACCCCAGCCGACTTCTTCAGATACCTCCAACTTAGAAACTAAGCCGCCCTAGCGACGGTGAAAACCACCACTAAAACCAAGCTGACCTTCTTTGAATGAATCTGCCTTGTGGAACAATACCAACGGTGCATGATCACCCAACTTTACTACCACCTCCGTTCCACCACACGGGAATGGGGCAACCTACACTACACCAACCAATGGGAAACCGATTTGGGGGAAACCCTAGAGGGCATTGACTGGCAGGACATTTTGGAGGCCAACACTAAAACCTCCATCTGTGTTACAATGCAGGAACAGGCTTATAAAACAATGTTCCGGTGGTATACCACACCGGTCCAATTGCACCATATGAAAAAAAAACACCTATCGATCTTTGCTGGCGTAACTGCGGAGAAAAAGGGACCTACACCCAAATGTGGTGGCACTGCCCTACAATTAAACTTTTTTTGACAGACATCCAAACACTGATATCCCAAATACTAAGCAGACCGGTAGACCTGAACCCTTGGACCATCCTGCTAGCCAAGCCCCTCGACAACTGGTCCAGACCAGAACAACAATTGCTCAACAAAATAGCACTGGCAGCTAAAAGAGGCCACTGCCATCACGGAACACAATTGCCATAAAGTAGTGTG